GACTGGTAGGGCAGAAAACTTGGTACTGATGAAATGCTACTATACAAGCATGCCCAGTGAGAGCCGTTACATATATATATATATATATATATATATATATATATATATATATATATATATATATATATATATATATATATATATATATAAGCCTGCCAAAAGCATGTAGAAAAATGTGTACTTCTCTCAGAATACTATAGAGGATCAAATTAAATTCAGGGTTCACTAACATTTTAGTTTGTTTTCATCTCATCAAGAAAGTTTTAACCTTTGACTTAAAAAGATAATAATTTCATTGAAATGTTTCTTACACTGAAGTCATCTCCCTGTTTGCATTTGGTTGGAACAGGAAGTTTCTCTTTCCTTGACGTTCTGATGCTCTAGAGAGTTTTCACTAAGTTGGAGTGGCTGTACAGCAGTTTATTCAATTAATAAACAGCCGAGCTATTCCTTTACCTGGAGGCATAGCAGAACAGTCAGACTCAGTCGGCTCTTTTAAGTAGCTGTGTCAATTGTTGTCATCTGGTTTTGTTTGATTGTTCTTCTCAGACACTGCTGGCAGATGCCTCACATGTCTGTCTTCTCATATCACCCAGTACACATCTTCTCTGAAGGCTCAAAAACGACTATTGAAACACTATAAGAATGGACATTTGGTGCATATAACCTTAGTTTATCATGATCAAATAGATGGTGGTCTTTTTTTGTATAACTAGATTATGCATTATTGACCAATCATAAGACAAATATTGCGATTGTCCAGAACAGGAAAAAGAAATTATGTTATTCCAATAGAGCCCATGATGCAACACGGGTTCTATTGTAATATGTGAAAACTTTATAAAGACTCAGTTATTACCGTTGTTGCTCCGCCCATCCCGTACCACAAACTTCTTGTAAGGAAGGAGCAGGAACAAAAATAGCAAAGAATCTTGTGGAACAAGTACTTTAGTGATTGTTAGTCAAAGATTGTTCTTAATCCTGTAAGAAAGGTCAGATGGAAGAAGCAGCAACAGTTCGCTTGAATCAGTCTTTTTGAGTGGACAGTTTATTTTTAATCTCTTTTAACAAGTAAGTTTAATTTTTTTTGCTTCGCCTCATATTAAACTTGCTTTAACTGAGGCTTTTATGATCACTAATGTGTGGAAAACATGCTTCCTTCATATGTAAGAGCCGCTGATTTAAGAAAAATCTTAATGTTTTACCTGTCTCTTAGTGTTTCTAACTACTTTAAGAAATTAAAGTTTTGGGCTTCATTAAATTTATTAAGTTAGCATTAGCTTGATATAGATTTACTGTAACGAGTTTTAAGCTTTAAATGAATACATTTCTATATTGTTTGATTCTGATATTAACCTCTGCATTACAAATGTGCTGAATGGTTTAGATTGTATTTACAGCTAGAAATACAACAATCTGTGTAAGAGAGTTATAGCTAGGGGAATACAAGACTGAGAGAACAGGAAAGTAGGATGTTTTAGAAAAGCTACAGGGCAATGACTGTAAATAATGTTAAGCTCTGGTTTAAATGCTTCATGTAACGTCCTACAAGAAATATAAAAGCTCAGTGTAAAACCTAGAATTAAATAGAGTGAAATTATAATCCTAATTGACCAAGCCGGCAGCTGGAAAACTCTTATAAATCTTATCTTGAAGAAACTCTGCTCAGTGCTTCAAAACCCAGTCCAAGTTAGAGGAAACACAGAGTTGATTATTATATACCCTAATTTTATAAAAAAGAAAAGGGAAGTATCAGTCAAGCCACCAATAGCTGCCCCTTTTGCTTAGGAAGACATTTTGCTACTGAAAGGAAATATAAACCAGCTTTTTCAAAATATTAGGATTTTTTTCTATATATATATATATATATATATATATATATATATATATATATATATATA